AAAGGCTTCAATTTGTGGGTCATGCTTTGCCACTGCGCCACCACAGCAACCCAGAGAGTGGGACATTTTGAGCAAAAAACAGGAAGTCAGGATTTGCTCAGTTTTATCTTTCAGGCATTCTCTGTTATGGACTCAGTAATGCTAGGTTTGCTAACTGTGCTAATCGCTAGTAAGACGCCGAGCCAGTTTCACACGTCAACTCTTGGATCTATTTTTTCTTGTACTGAAACATTATTAAAACCCTGTTTTGGGGGTGTAATATCACCTCTGCTCTTAATGTAAATAACCAACAACCACTAATGACAGAAAGACAGGAATGTTTTTATGCTTTTCTCATAAACAGTTTGTAGAGCAACCAGTCTATACAGAAACCACAGCTCAGGAATCTGTCACAAAATTCTGATTGTTGCATCTCTAGTTTGTTTACACCCAAAGTCTATATTTCTAGGTATATATCTTCTGATTTATGACAGTAGAATAAATTTCAGTGGCAGTCGGTGGGATGTGACTTTTTGTTTCCCTTCTTAGCCGGTCATAGCGATGAGCTGAACACATTTTACAATAGGAAAGCTGGGAAAAAACAAACAATCACTCTTAGCTCTATTGGTCCAGATTCTTCAGCTTGTTTTATTGTTTTGGTTTCTAGGAAAAAAAACACAAAACACCAACATTTCAGTCTGACCATTAAATCATCGCCCAAACAGAGGAATCTGTCTCTGCACCTTCCTTCTGGGTCTCAATGTACCACACAGAGGACACGCAGGGGACACGGCAGCTCGGAGAACAAGCGCGGCCTTGTTGAACGTTCGCACTCCCACCTCGCTGGCGTCCAGTCTTCCAGAAAGAGAGAGAGAGAGAAGCTGGATCATATAACTGAATTTTTCTCATGGATTTTTGTGGTCAAGCAAAAAGTCTACTCTGGCAGCAGGCCCGTGTATTTCAATTCATAAATAAAGCTGGATCCTCAAATGCTTCCTCCTCGTGCTGCATGCTGGAGAAAAGCTCCACCCTCTCACCACATAAAACTCCAGAGGTTGGCTGCCAACCCTTTGCCTGGTGAGATTATAGCTTTAACTCACTTGCTTAATTGGAATCCCATTATCAATAAAAGATTGGACACAAAATGTGTCTGCTAATGCAATTCGCACAATGAATCAGCTGAATTGGGAAAATCGGGTTCGAACAAGGTCGCCGTCACTGACGATGCATAAAGAAAATCCCAAACTGAACAACTGTTGTTGAGTCTTCACCCAAGTAATGTGGCGAATTATCAATAACGTCTTCACGGAACAACTTTAGTTAGTAGCTTCCACATTGTTAGAAAAACAGACTTCTATAAAAATGAGTTGAGCCAACTCACATTCGGTTTTTGAAGGTAGTACAGAACCTGTAGGTGACAGATGTAAAAAAAAACCCTGGTTGGTGGAAGGCAAACAGCTAGACAAGTTGACCCAGTTGGGGTCAAAACCTGAAAATGTTTCCATGCGTGAGATATCAATGGATATTACACAGTCGCACATTCACACAAGACAGTTGTTCTCTGGTATTCTGCTGTATTGCCCTCGCTGAACTACAGCTATGCTACCACTCAAAGTTACGATTGTTGAGTTCGGCAATAACGTCAGTCTGTCCGATCAGCAGGAGAGTCGTTACTCCGCCCTAAAGGCCCGGGTCTACCTTACTGCGCCAGATGTCTTTGAGAGAATTTATACGCCAATAACTCCCCCCACTGCCTTTGCTCAAGTCTCACTGCATTCCCTGCTGTCCTGGTTTTAAACAGTGAATGCTGCTACAGAAGAACACTCCTCTCCAGATGGAGAGAAAGCCAGATTTTCTATCACGATGTCAGACACTGCAGGTACAACCAGGCGCCACTCCACCAAGAGTGGAATAAGCCTTTACGGTTCAGCGTCAGAGTCTCGTTTGTACCACAGCATCAAAAATGGTTATGCTCCTGTAACTTCTCGCTGTCTGAAGATGGCCTGAATCACATCATCCAGTGAAATGGCGGGTAAGTTTTTGTGACGGCGGTATCTCAAATGCAAGAAAAACGGAGGAAACCAAGGTAAAGTACCAAATGTGTTGTTACAGGCCTCAAGTTCCAATGTGAAAAAGAAATGTTGGCATTAGCGATGCCTATTTGAAACTATCTACAGAGATTTAGTTTGTTTTAGAGTCAAGACTTTTTGGGTTGTTGGTTAACGGCCTCTCCAGATAGATTGGGGAACAGGACCACTGACACAAGCTAGTAAACCAACCATTTAGGTCCAGTATTTCCTCTTAAGAAGGACTATTTTCCAGGTTGGTGTATTTGCATTGGTGATTTTCAAATGCAAAGATTGAACTGGAGGTCGATGAAGACAATTCCCAGGATTCATGCAACCACATTTAACAATCCGACAACTGGAGGAGATGAGCACTGGATCTAAATCCAGGTCAACTCTTTCAGAAGACTCAAACAAACCCAAAACCTCTCCAAGCAGATGGCCGAAACAAAGGGTCAAAAAACCTTTCCTTCTGGGCGTGTTCTGAGAATAAATCAAGAAACGGGTCTCCAACGGATCTGCAAGATCTCATGACATGGAAGCCACAAAACTATTTATGTCACTGTTCATTTTCTCTTCTGTCTTCATTTGCACTAAATTAGAGTTTAAAAGACTCACGCAATGCCGCTCTCTGCAGCTAAGACTTCACGGGCAATGAACTCCATGACATTCCTCTCCTTGCATGTCACCTCACAGCTTAGTTGCGCCATTGTACCCAGCATGCCTTTCTCCCCCACTACTGCCAAGCTGGCGCTTTACGCGAAGATCTGGAGGAAATGACAGCAAGGATGAAAGAAAACTAAATGGACTGAAGCGAGCTAAATGAACAAGAACAGAAAAAGAAAGCAACCCAGCAAACAGCAACACCATCTGCCTTCAGTTACCATCGCACGACAGAACACGTGTGGATGGCATTGCCAATGCATGGCTGTTTTTTTTTTTTTTTTTTTTTTCCATGTGCGGGCCAGACCTAGCTGCTTTGTGCAACACTCAGGAACTGCAGAAAGGCTGGCGGAGTGCAGCGGGGGAATCCCATCAAACACCTTCGCCTGCTTTCCCTTCCTGTAACAGTTTAACCCGCACTAAACGGAGCGTGTGCAGAAGGCCGCGCAAGCTGCAATTACAGCGCTGATTACAGATCAGCTCCACCGTCAGGATTTTCTTTTTCTATTCCAGAGGGAATAACTTTGCACAAGAGGGCGGAGGAGGTTCTGCAGAGAAATTGGGAAGCCCCCGAGAGAGATCAAGTAAGAGGAAATATGAACCGTAGTTTCACAATGACCGCACATACCGATGCAAATTTCTCATGTTAATTTATTTGCCTTTACTGGTAAAACCTCCTGTGGCTTTCCGCGCTGCTCAAAAGCAGTGCAAGAGTGACATCTGCTGGCGACGATTTACCATACAGTGTTTTGGAAACAGTCTTTTTGCTTGCCGACCTGAAATATAGTTTATTTTTAATTATTTAAAAAAATGTTTTTTTAATGCATGACTGCAATCTGGTATAGTTAACTTAAACATTTTTACATCAGTTAAGTAGTTTTAGAGCCTAACTTAAAACCCAAATATTATTCTGAAGAATATGAAGCTGAAAATGAAGTTCAAATTATAAAAAGGTGGCTTTTCTTGTCATTTAAATTTCAGAAATGTGAGTATTTGCTATATCAAGTGAGGACTGAAGATGATGATCTCAATGCAGGAAAATTGAAATTATGATGAAAAGGTTAGGGCAATAATAGCATATTTCTTTGTGATTATTTGGAAAAACGGGATCTTTCATAGATGTAGAAAGAAACAAAAGGTGCAAAAATGCTGGTCAGAACTGGAGCAGAAATTACGTATTCCTCAATGTTGGCAGAATTTTTGTATTTCAGACTATAGTTTTGTCTGAAGCGTCATTCAAGACGGACTGAAGTCACCAAAAAGGAGCTTTTAAATGTATCCACAGTGTGCCAGTTAAGTCTCCAAACTTGATAATTGAACACTTCTTATGACTTTTTCCTACATATTACCGAATCAGTTTTCAAGATGTCAATTCAAACTGGAGCTAAGGACGCCTTTGTGTAATGAACTGTTTTTCATAATTAACCCAATCAAAGAAACACATAAGCTACATCAACTGCTTACAGAAACAAAAAAACAAAACAAAAGTTTTTATTGTTAAACTTTTATTCAAAGAAATGAAGAGCAGAAGCTGCCTGGATTAGAGTGAAAATGCTACAAGCCATAAATAGCGATCAGGAAACAAACAAAAAAAAAAAAAAAAAAAAGGGATTTCCAAATAAACGCATCCGTTTTTAAGGAGATTATAAAAAAAATATTTAAGTGTGTCAATAGTCCGTGAAGTTCATCACAAGCCCTAGAAAAACAATGAGAAGTACATGAAAATGCAGGTGAAACAATGGTCAACTTTTTCTAGCAAGAAGTGATTTTTGTAGCTTTGAATCAGATGCTTGAAATTTTGGAGAAAGGTTTTAAAAAACCCCAACTAAAGTAGACAAAGTCTCTCCGCTGTGTACAGCCATCCTAACCCCCGTGGCATCCCCCTCACTTTGTCCTTTTTATTGCCTTTCAGCATGCATACAGTCTGCTGCTGCCTCAGCCGCAGGTCAGCAGCACATTTAGGAGGTTCCTAAAGTAAACATTCATAAAAACAGCAAAAAAACAAAAAACAACAACAACAAAAAAAACCTGAATACACTGGAACAGAAAATGACTGCAACATAATCCATGTCCAAGCAGTACGAACACACACACCATGTACTACGTTTGGAGTGAATAACATATTTTTATCTCCCTGTTCCCCCCCAAAAAAGTCTGAATGTGCTTATGGTGAAGATTTCAGTAAAATATATACACTGCAGCTCAAACTTGTGTGATGACTCAGCATTGTACATTAAAGGAGTTCCTGCCTCATAACCTCCTGTGTGTGTGTGTGTGTGTGTGTGTTTTTTTAATCCAAGGCTTAATACATTTTATTGCACGTGGTTCACTTTAAGTTGCACAAGTGCTGCTTTCATGGTTTTTGATTTAGTTTTTTATTTTACTCGATTTTTGTCTTTACCGGAACACGGTAAGCGAAACTTTAATCAGTAAAGCATTACGTCGTAAACTGGGAAGGGAGTTGCGGCCACAGATGTTCGGAGAGTTGCTCAGACTTCAAACTGTAGTTTTGAACGTCTTTGGTCGTTGCTGCATTCATATCAAGTCAAATCGCCACACACCAAAGTCCAGATCCACATTAATCATCCAGAGGTTTAATTTGAACTGAACTTAACCTGTGAAGCTGTTCCCATTTTAAACATCAGCATTTGTCGCTATGATGGAGCTAAATAGATTTGACGTTTTAAGGATTAAAACTAGCCTACCAGCAGAATGCTGAATGGTGTGTGTGCAGAAAAAAATGACCCATTTGTAGAGTAAAATTTACAGACCAAAGCTTGTTAGAATTCAAAGCAAAAACAAAACAAAACTATTTTTGAAAAACAATGCATAGCATAAACAGCGAATCAAAATTCGTCTGTACTGCACTCCATACCTACGCCGCACGTAAAAACACGTGTGAGGAACGTTTTTGTTGTTGTTCCAGTTGGAGCCCGCTGCTCAGGTGGAGAGAGCCGAGGTAGAAGTCTCCTGCTTTTAACAGAGGAGGGAGGGGAGTACAGTGGGGTGCGTCTTGGGTTGGGGGTGGGAAGCTTTTGGACCCCTTCTTCTTAATACTGCCGCTCAGGACCACAGCTGCTCCATCTCCGGCTGACTCCACTGTGCTCTTATCGAACGAAGAACGGGAATCCCGGCGCCGGCTCTCTAGCTTTCCTCCTCGTCTTCCTCGCGGCTGGCCACCACTCTCTTCCTCAGGGCTTCGTCGGGGTAGCCCTGGCCCTCGGGAGACTCCCTCTGCCTTCTCCAGGCCCCGTCCTGGTCGTCTTCCTCCTCCTCATCGTCGTCCTCCTCGCCGTCAGCCTCCTGGTCCTCGTCCTGATTCTGGATTAGTCGGGACTGCTCCATTGACTGTTTCTCTGCAGAAACGCACACGCAACGTCAGGGAGGCTAAGAGCTAGCTACAAGCTAACGCTGCATGTGACAAAAGGTTTTAACCTTTTCTCACATGTATGTGAGAAAGTATGTGGTTTTTATGTTTGTGTTTTTATGATGCCAAATACATTGAACTCCTTGGTTGCTGAAATGTGATATAAATCAATAAACTTGACTGAAAAACACAGTTGGGTGCTGGTGGACTGCACTAGCGCCAAGCTCAGCAGGTCCTTTTCCTTCTTCTTCATAATTACGTATTATTTGATCATTTATCACTTGAAATCCTTAAAAATAAATATACATTAGAGTTTGTGGTTGAAACCAAAATCTGAAGCTATTCAGGAAGTATTAATACTTCTCCGAGTCACAGCATGATATAAATATTAATGCAAAACTCACTCTGGTAATAATCGGGTGAGGAAAATCGTCGTGAAGGAAAGACGTAATCTGCGATGAACACTAGCAACTGAAACGACAAAAGTATTAAGATTATGTAAATTATTCACGGCATGTTTGATCCGTAGCTTCTCCTGGAGTGACACAGCCGTACTCACCAGACCCAACGTCAGGCCAGCAAACAAGGTGACCAGGCCAAAGATGACATATGAACCCCAAACAGGAATCCCCAGCTGCTCCGTCATGTAGTTATGGCAACGCTGGGAAACAAAAAAACACGATTCTCACCTATTTTTGGCCTTGACATGATCTGAATATTCAAGATACACAAAGTATGTGAGCAGCACATTCATTTTTAGTATTCAGCAGCAGACATTTTGCTTGAAAAGCAATGTCATTTTTAAACTGTGGATGTTTTATCAACACTGAACAGGAAGTTTGATTTCATATCAGTGGGCTCTTAACACTATAAATAGTTAGGACGGGTTTTAACTCTCTCCGGTTTACAAGCTGAACAATGTGCAATCAAGGGGAATGAGCCCCACCTAGAGCAAGAAAAAGAAAACACTATTTTAAGTACAAAAGGTGGAAATGATTCCATCTTTTGCTGTCATATTCGCTATTTATTCCACACCAATCACCAGGAGCCACAATCCTCTCAAAATACAGTCTGCAAAAATCAACAAGTGTGTCATTTACTTACTCGGATGAACATGGAGAGCTTGAACAAAGCCGACATCGAGTTCATCCTGTCAAAAGAGGAGGCGAACGCAGCATGTAACTCGACACAGATCTGTCAGTCAGTCACAAAAAATATCTGCATGTTTGTGTGTTGCTTTTTCAAGCCCACCAGAAGACACCGAGAATAGAGTTAACGTCCGCTGACGTTTTCTGAGATTTCAAAAACACAGGAGGACCCAAACGTGTTTTTCATGGGAGATATTTTTTTTTTGTAGCCACTTACAAGAACGAGGACGGCCCGAACCACGAAGAAACGGGCTCCGTGTTTTTCCATTTCTGTTCGTCGACAAAGCTGAGGAAGTCTTCTTTGGTACGAGCGCCGTGGTACTTGCGGAAAATGCCGTCCTTGCAGCTGAAAAAAAATTAAAAAATCTCAATCTGTGGCAAAATTAACTGGAGCTCAGGTTTTTTTTTTATCAAACTCCTGATAAAAAAACAAAAACATTTTAATTTCTATTTATTTTACTAGTGTTATTTCTAATGTTTATAATAGCGGTTTCTGTGGCACAAAAGTCAAATAGAAAATACATTTTTACACTTTAAAGCTGTTTCTGCAACAGCAGGATGTTCTAAAAACTCTCTTATTTTTATTTAACTTCTAAAAGCAACATCACCAAATGGAGACCACAAATGAACAGACAATCACCTGTTAAAAATAACTCACAACAGTTTGTTTCTTTCTTTTAAATAATAATAAAGAGATTCTAACATATACCTCAGAGTGTATGCAACATTGAAACTATGTTTGCAGCAATTATCTTTAGGTACTGCTGAAGAAAAGAAAAAAAGACAAACACAAAAGCGGAAGCAATGGAAACCACAAACCATGCAGATACGTACTGGTATATTGTAGGAAGTGAAGTTATGATGAATCGCCCACTCAGACCTTACAGAGGAAAGAGAGTCAGCAGGAAGACCTTTTTTTTTTTGCAACCTCACATTAATGCATTAGCTTGTGTTAGATCTATCCCAGTAAAACACATTACAGATGATAGATTAAACCAGATAGTCGCAGTATGACTGAGCTAAATAGTGTTGTCCAGCTTGGGGTTGCTTACCAGGCTGCTCCGTCACATCCACCTTGGCGACGTTGATGCCCATGTCTTCCCCCCAGTCCGCGAACTCTTTCCACACCGACTGCAGCTGCTGGCATGCAGGACACCAGGGTGCGTAGCTGCGGGAGAAAAGGTTTAAGAGGCTTTCAATTTATTGTGCACGTCGTGCTGCTCGACATCATTAGCCCCCCAATTTAGCGTCCCCCCCCAAAAAGCTGGTTAGCAGTATATAATATTTGCTTAGAAAGCGTGACTTTTTCGTAGCGTTGTGTGACTAAATTAAGAAAGACATAAACTAATTTTAAGCTGGTTTAGCTGACGCGGGAACTCGGGTTTTTGTTCCAAACAGAAACTGCAAAATTAGCTGGTTAGCCTGTTAGCGGGACACTGACAACTCAATCATCCATTCTCCGGTCATTATCTTCTCCCAGTCCCCGTCCGTCACTTCCTTGAGGCTGTCGGGCTTGGCCGAGGCTGGCAGCGACGACCAAAATGTCAGGAGAAGGAGAAAAGGACATGTCCAGGACCGGAGACCCGCTCCCCCCAATAAAAACAACATGATTCCACTCATGCTGCTAGCTAGCCGACGACCCGTGTCCATTCCACAAGTCACTTCCGGTGTGCGCCTTCGCGGTAGCGGTAGTGACGTCAGAGTCAGCTGATAGCGAAACATATTTGTTGTGATTACCTTGTTCTTAAAATGTTTAAACAAACATCTTCTTTTGCCTGCCACTATTATTCAAAGTGGACAACAAAAACATAAATCCACCAAATTAATACCAATAAATGAAGGAGCAATTCTAACAATCAAAATTAATAGTGCTTTATAAGTACATAATTGTAGCAGTTATGTGTCAGCTAACAAATTACCACATTCACTACACTTAGAGTAAAACATTTCAAAACTTTAATTCTTTTAATTTAAATGATTATGGTTTACATATAATAAAAACCCAAAATTCAGTGTCTCAAAAAGGTAGAATACTACAGAAAATAAATAATAGAAAAGATATTTTAAACAGAAATGTCAAACTTCTAAAAAGTATTCTAAATTTAGGGTACTCAATACTTGGTTTTTGTTTGATTTTTATCCTCTCTAAAGCACTTCCTCTACAAAAAGGTAAGTGCTGTTTCATACAATAAATGTTGCCAAATAGTGCCACCCTGTTAAATCTTATCCAATTTTGCCAGCCCATGAGATAATACTAATGGAATATTCAAGCCAATCAAAGTGTGTTTCCATCCAAAAACCTGAATATCACATTACGCAGATATGTTCTCATCATATATAGATATTCATATCTCTCTTTTTTGTGAGTCCTGCTCCTCTGCACATGCGGTGCATGAATCTGAGTGAATGTGCTGAATGAGAGCAGTTATTATTGCTGGGAACCTGCAGGCAGATTGCACCGGCGGACGACTAGCAGTGCGCCTCACACTCTAAAAATACCTCCCAGATGACATCCTTTTGTGAACCTACCTACGGCCCCCGTTCTCCAACCATCAGCTCTGCTCCACTTACAGCAACAACAAAAAAAAGGATCTTGTCCTGTCCAACACTCATTGACGTCTCTGCTTTAACGTAACGCACCAATGAGGAAAAATAGGAAGCAGACCACAGAGGGGTGATCTCGTTTGGTGTTGTTCCATCAAACTCTTCTGCTCTGGTTTCCTTCTGTTCACTGTGAACTAAATATGCTTCCGATTGTTCTGTTGTCCCTCTTACACTAATAGTGTTTTTTTTTTTCATGTTAGATTCGCTCATGTAATTGGAAACAGTCACTTAGATCTGCCAGATTCTTCTAATTTTACATTTAATTTGCTATTGATTAAACTCCTTATCAGAGACTGATTGTTTCCATGGTGATTTCTCGAGTGCGGCTCAGAGGAAAGATCATGGATATTTCTATCTGTGGTATAAAAACCCTTCTTGTTTTTTGGTATGTCGCTGTTGTGACCACAAGTTTATACATGAAAAGCAAATTTTAGCTATACTTTTATCACACATTGTTCTTATTTCCTTTCTGATTAAATCAAATATCAGCCACGCAGTTTCAGGATTGCAGCGCACTGTGGACTTTTCAAATTTTCATTTTTGACAATGTTTTTGATTGCTAGACTTTGAAAGCTTGTAGGTCACAATACTGAAAATTCAGAAAAATGCATGTACTTTTAATAGTGTAATTCCAAGTCTTTTAATATAGGCATTTGCAGGTACGAGGTGTGGTATTTTACTGAAAGAATGTGATATATATTAAAAACTAACAACCTTAATAGAGTAGAATAGAATATACTTTATCAATCCCCAAGGGGAAATTGCTTGCTTAGTCAACATTGTTGAAGATAAGATCTTAGCTCCTAAGAAAGTGCAAAAAGAATTAATGTTGTAAAAAAAAATCAATCGACAAAAATGTAAAAAGTAAAATTGCAACAGGCTGCGTACACGTTAGCGCATGCACTCTAAGGCTAGCTAACAGAGAGCAGTAAATGACACTAACATCAATAATAGCTCAACAATTAAATTCCTCTTGACTTCAGATTTTCTTCAGAGGGGCTCAGCCTCGCTTTTTGCTAATTTTGTTGCTCTATAGACCCAACAAGTGTCCATCCATCCATCTATTAATGGATGGATGGACACTTTAACCAATGGAGACCATTGGTGGCAATAGCTGACCGTCAACAGAGACAGACACTAGCCTATCTCCACTGACGGAGATAGGCTAGTGTCTATCTCCATTGGTGAATGGCTGGCACTAGCATGTTTCTTGTCTGTTTTGATACAAGTTGTCAACACATCAGCTTGTGTTATAATTAAGTATGATTGCAGTTAATTATGTCTTGGCATATTAGAGGAGAGTAGGTTACATGACAGATAAACAGGGAGCTGCACTAGCTGACACAGTCTTCAGGTTGTTTTTGAAAACAACAACAAAAAAAGACTCATTAGCTCGACAAAGTAATGCACATGGGCTATAAGCCAGTTTTGGGAAAACAGGACGTTATATTAGTCAGTGACTCTGATACCAATCACCTTCAGGTTGCTTGACAGGAGAACATCAATCCAGCACAAGTTGTTCCATAAATTAAGAAATTGATCTTGATAAAATTTCCAGTCTCAACTGGTGATGTTTCGGCCTGTTGGGTTGCTTACTGGTTGATTATTATATGGAGTAAATCTTTGGATATTGTTGATTTTTTTTCTTGAATGTAGGTAACAGTAAGACAGAGCTTCTGCATTCAGACAACAGACTCTCGATTTGTATCAATAATTATCTGATTCATGGATGGCATCTATGATTTATTCTGCAGTATACCTGACAGTTTACATGCTACTGACCACAGAGCGGTGGCACAACATGGATGTATCCACCGATATGTGAAGTAAACGCCACCTCCTTCTATCTAATGGCCAGCAGGGGGGGACATTATTTGTTGAAAAAATGGGCTAATCTCTTTACTTCTGGATTAAGTGAACTCCTGGGCAGCTGATGGAATAGTTTTGTTTAAAATAGGTCATATATTCATGACTCTAATTATGAGTCATGTATGTTTTAGCGATTTATACACGCAGAAGGACAATTACCTGCTGCATACAATCAGCCACCAGGCTCTAGTTTCAATATTCAACCTGTATTTTAATAATTTCAGTAACGTTTGACGTATAAACAGTGTTACATAAGACGTGTCCGTGTGAACTGTGTGTCCATTTTGTGCGGAGCTGCGCAGTTACTCAGCTCTCATGTGAAAGCTGATGGTATTCAGTAATTTCAAGGTTTCAAGTATGATGAGTGAGAAGTGGCAGTGTGTGGGTGTGAGGCAGCACAGTGGAGCCTTTCAATTGGAGAGCGCACCACATAATATTCTACAACTAATCTCTCTGGGTGTTTCACCGCTCGGCGCCTCCAGAACTCATATTCACTCTTAGTATTCTGACTAAAAATCCAGCTGCAATGTGGAGCAAACACCATATTAGCAATGAAACCACCACAGTTATAGCCGTTTGTCCAATGCACAGTAAAAGCCTCGGCCTAAAATCTGAAATGATTTTAGACAGGGCCACATGGCTTAGACGGTACATGTCAAACATTTAAATATATGGCGTTTCTCTTGAAAATATTTGATTTAGCAAAATTAGCTGCTAATTTTGTTAATAATTCAAAACATTGGTTAAAAACTGAATTTCTTGCTAATCCAGGGCATTTTTGTCTGATATTAACATTCATTAAACAAAAAAAATTTAAGAGGGACAAAAAAAAAATCCCCAGAAGAAATCTGTTAACCTTTTCACATTAAACCTTGCCCTTATTTAAACATCTATATGTGACATGATTGTGTAATGTTGGACAGATATGATTTCAGGGGGGCAGTAATTATGTTACCTTCAGCTTCACCTCCTTGAAGGTGGAGCTAGATCCACCCAGGCGTTTTGCACAGCTGAGAGGTTGCCATGGGAGATAAAAGGATTTCATCAAACATGCATGAAAGAATCAAAGCAACACTGCAGGTATGTTTTAGATGAGGGAATAACATTATAACATGATGTAAAAGCTCAAAAAAGTCAATTTTTACGTAATGCTGCCCCTTTAGCTACATAGTAGATACCAATACACCGCTGCATTTTTGCCATAGCAACAAAACCGTCATCGCAAAAAAATTTATCTTCTGGTCAGTTTAAAAATTTCCCCTCTGTGTTTTATTAGTTTTAGAGTCTACTGTGTTTTCATTGAGAGGTGTTGACTCATACTGTGTTCTTAGAGCTTAGTGTTTATTGCATAGTGGATAAAAACGCAATGAAAGCAGCAGCAAGCATTTGTAGAGACATGTCTGTACGGTTTACGAAGGGAATAAATTAACTTCCACCACATCCTGTCCTCCAATTGAAGGTTTTTTGTTTGTTTGTTTTTTGGTTGTTTTCCTGAAAAGAAGTGTCTTGTCAGCAGAACAAGAGTACCGCACACATTAGGTACTCAGAAAGACGCATAAAGAATGCCAAACACGCCTCGGAGGAGATGAGCCCAACCTGCAAATTACAACTTAATAGCATCTGTTCCGACGTCCTAATCAACATCTGGAACCACTGGAGCTTTCCTAATTACCTGAGAGGGTTTGTCGTTGGCTCCATGTTGTTTTGTACATCTTATTCATTTTAACAATGCGACAGAATCACTGCCGACTGAACACGGCTTCAGGAAACGTTATGACCACATTTTATTGTGGATAATGAAATACAATACTAAGCTTGTTATGGCGAACGGGTCGGGGCGTTCAGTCGCCTCTCGCACAATCACTGCTACTCATTTTTGGATTAAGGTGGAATCTGGGTCAAGCGAGGTTCAGACTTTGACTTCAAAAAGTTTAAATAATATTTTATACGCAAAGGTTGAAATTACACCACCTTCAAACCGCTAAGCAGCACCAGCAGATTTGAGCTCATTAGGCTTTAGATGAACTAACTCATCAAACTAGTGAATTGCTTTCTTGTCATTAGCTCTCCAGCAAACCTCTGTCGTTGAGATTTGCCTGTTATTTATTTCGCCATCGCCCGAGGGACGCTATTAAAATTCAGCCCATTTGCCACGTTTAAGATCTTTTTTACCTCTGGATGATAAATGGTGACGGTATGCATG